CTCAATATAAATAAAAACAAACAATTTCAACTTTTATTTGTTTAAATAATGATTTTAGACCAGGTTTTCTTGAGGTTTTTATATCACAACACAATCTTTACGCACTATAATTATTAGATCTTAATCATTTAGACTTTAAACGTGATTAAAAATTCTCGAATCAAAATATTACTTAGGGAACACAAGTACAGAGCTTCTTTTATAATTGTGTCCAAAGACGGCAAGATTCTGAATTTACACCTGAGCAGTTGCCACATAAGCAGCAGTACATGTACTACTTCCAACAGGATAATCAGCAGAACATGAACAATTTTCAATAGGAAAATAATGCCGATGACTTAATGGCCAACGAAGGTTTATTATCGCAATATATACAGTTTAGTTAATTTATATATAACAAATGAAAAAGAATAATAAATGAAAGCCTTTATTTACCTTGACTAATTTCTCCAAAACGTGTATCATCGCATCGCAGGTTTCCATAATTATTAAGGAAAGACTTTGTGGGGAAATAGCACTATGAAACTTTAAATCTTCTAGAGTATTTTCGATCGCTAGATACCTTAATGTTATTGAAATCCTTTGAAAAGGTGGTATTGCTTACCTCATATTTGTATTTGTTTCTCAATCAATATCGTGAATAATTCTAGTAGCTCTTGAAACTGTTCCAAGTTCAGTCGTAAAAAAATTTTGAAGCCTGCTTCCCCAGTTAAAATCAAGTCTTTTAAAAGATTTTCGTGAGTGTATTTATGCCTCTTCTTGTACCAATCTCTCGACCAGCGACGTGTTCGTTACGTTTACATTTAGCCACAAGCAACAACATTACAGCTGCAGCTAAATCTTGTTCGGACATGTTGCTTTACGTACGGTGCACACGGGATTAATACTATTCTCCGACTGAACACGAAAACATTGCGTATTTCATATTATTGTGCAATATAATTGATCGTTTGGATTCAAAACGCCTTCTGTATACTAAATATATTTTTGATATCTGAATTGGAGTATACAGCTAAAAATACAGACGGCGATACAGATGCCAAAACATTTTTTTTGGAAACGTTTTCTGTCTATCTGTCTGGACACGCATCACGCAAAAACCTGTAAACGGACTTTGACGACATTTTCACAATAGTATTGTGTAGGGGTCGAACTGTTCGAATAAGTATACATATCATCACGTTATCTATTATAGGAGCTGGGCAGTAGGCATAATCTTACCTTTTGCAGCTACAAAACGTCTTAAAACTTACATTGTCGTGAAATTGAAAAATTACACTATCCGATTTTGAGTTGTTGTTGTATAATTCTTACCCGGTATTTTCAAAATATCTTAATATTTATTTTAGTGTAATAATCAACTTATTAATAAACTTTCATCTTAGATGGCGCTATTGGTATTCATAAAGCATGGTATGGTTTTATTATATGCGAGTCATAGTTTTTAGTAGATCAGTCAATTCGATTTTCTTACCTTCATCTGACTAAGTCTTTGCAAGTAGCAGGTTGTTCCCGTTCTTTAGATGTATTTTCATGATTGGTCATAGGCGAAATTATTATATACCAACGTGAACTTTCATATCATATGTTTATTCTAAATGTGTTGTGATAAAGAGCTTGTTTAATAGCTTATATCTGTTATAAGAGAAAAAAAGGAATGAGTTCAATTAAAAAGTAAAATTAAAGCCTATTTTATGGCCCACCGTGATGTAAAAATATTCTCATATTTCTGAGAGGGTTTTCTTGGACCGGTGAAGAGTCCATCGTGCTGCTTTTCACGCGCCTTCCTGACGCATATATTCACTTACTTAAATTTTAACTATAATTTATACAATAGAGTACAGTTGTTTTTTATCATTGCGTGTATGTACTGTGTAGTACGGTACTGTGTGCTGAATTAAAAGGTTTTGTCACTACCATAGGTTATATTAACAGGTCTTAACTAATATAATTTCCCATTTTTAAAAGCATTGTTTTTACATTTTAAACATTCCGATATTAGAGTATTTATGTTAAGTGTATGAAGCTCAAAACATTTAAAATTTTTTAATTACTTACTAATTCCAACATACGATTTTGGTCCTAGCGGCCTGTCTCTACGAAGGCTAACTGTTTATGCAGGAACTTGATATATTATGTACGAGCCTTTCAGTAAAGAGTACAAGTGTTCTATAATACGTACGTAAGTTCTAAAAGAGTACCTACATTATGCTTTATATACTTTAATGACGTGCGCAACCACTGGTGCACTTTCTATTCCCTCACACTCTCATAGTGCGATGGATCGGGAATCCGACGGAAAATACAGAGAGATCGAATGCAGAACCAACAGTTTACGTGCTTTCTAAGCAACAAGGATGAAACACCTCTAAAATATTGACTTCGTAATGTTACTGCGAATTTTATGACAAAAAATCTAACTAATTTTGGGCCCGATTACACTTATTACTAAATGATTAAAAGATTTTTCATTCTGTTGCAGGATAAGACATAATTTAGATATCATTTATTTTGCTAGAGTAATTAGGTACCTAATTTTATATAGGCATTGAATTGTTGTTTTAATTTCAAATATTTTAATATTAATAGCAATATGGTGCCTCATGCCATATGCATACATTAATAGCAATTGGTGATGGAGCTTTCTTATTAAGGGCAATCTCTTATCTATTGCATGGGAGACACAAGTGTTGCATAGAGAAATTCTTAAGCAAATTGTGAATAACGTTATTGCAGTCATTTAGTTTTTTATTTTCAACTAGCTGTGCCGGCGGCGTAGCTCGCGTATATAAATTTTACTTAAAGAATTTGACGTTTAGGGTAAGAGAATATTAAACGATATATATTATAACTGTATGAATAAGTGGTAACAAAATAAATCGAAAACGTCGCCGAGTACCGGAACGAACTTGTGTCTGATGTCGAGTCTTTGCTGAACAAAGTCTCGGAGTCTAGTCCAGTTTAATCCTCAGAAGACACAAGTTTGCGCGTTTACCGCTAAAAAGAACACATTTGTCGTATCTCCTCAGTTTCAAGGCACTCCCCTTCTTGCCTCAGCCAGTATCGGTATCCTCGGAGTCGACATATCGAGTGACGTGCAGTTTCGTGGTCACTTGGAAGAGAAGGCCAAATTGGCCTCTAAAAAGCTTGGCGTGCTCAGCAGAGTGAGATAGTATTTCATGCGGGCACACCGTTTGCATTTTTACAAGGCGCAGGTTCGGCCTCACATGGAATACTGTTCCCATCTCTGGGCAGAGGTCCTCAGTGCCAGCTCCTTCCACTTGACCGCATCCAACGCAGAGCTGCTCGAATTGTCGACGACCGAGCCCTTTTCGATCGGCTCGATTCATTGGCACTGCGAAGAGATGTTGCATCCCTTTGCATTTTCTTTCGCATCTACCATGGGGAGTGCTCTGAGGAATTGTTCGGATTAATCCCAGCCGCCAAATTTCACGAACGCACATCGCGGCAGAACTCCCGATACCATCCACACCATCTGGATGATTGGCGGTCCACCACTGTGCGATTTAGAAGATGTTTTCTTCCTCGCACGACCTCCTTGTGGAATCGATTACCATCAGCGATTTTTCCGGATCGATACGACTTAGGGACCTTCAAGAAAAGAGCGTACTCCTTTTTAAAAGGCCGGCAATGCATCTGCGATTCCCCTGGTGTTGCAGTTGTTCATGGGCGGCGGTAGTCACTTACCATCAGGTGAGCCGCATACTCGTATTAAAAAGTCTAGTTTTGTTGCATAAATTTGGCGTACGTATATTTTTTCTGATTTTTGTTTCTGATCGTGTTTGTGATGTTAGCCTGCACGGCTTGTACGGCTTCATCGGGCTCATGGACATAAATTTCTTCAGTGAGTCTCAATACGATTCACTGGCGAAAAATCTGCAATTCAGAAAAGGTTGTAATTTGTACAACGCCATCTATTACGTTCTTTGTGAGAAAACATCCTTTTTTAATTTAAGGAAAATATTTTTTTTACACACGAATCTTTATATTGCTATTTTTAAGATTTTATGGCGCCATTAAACAAATTAGAACTTACATTTCAAAATAATAATCATAACTTTCGATAGAATTAACCAATTTTAATAAAACAAAGACTAAATTAACTCGATGATACGCTTTATGTTTTTCTTAAGGATTTCATAGCAAAAAAAGATATTTACTCAAAACGTCATGCGTTCATAAACAAACAGACAGACCGTCAGACAGTACAATTCATAAAATTATACAAATGTACGTATTTAATGATTTTCAGTCTCCATAATAATTTTAGTCACAAATTAATATACCGTACAATGTACAGATACAAACTCAACATGTTATCACCATTTTTATTATATGTATAGATATAAAAAAGAGAGATGGCGCTGTTAACATCATATCTAAAAATAAGAGATTAATTGACGCGATTGATACAATAAAAACATAAGAGAACTTATAAACCAGTGCCTGCATAGTAAGCAAAAAAGAAAGTTTGATCCTCGCCGAAACCAACTAAATTGTTAATAGCTCTTTTAAAATTTGATTTACCACATAGAGTACTCGGTGGTAAAAAATAAATGAGATTGTCAACACGCAGTAGAAGCAAATATGAAACTCATCTACAGGAAAAAACCTTAACCTGCCTTTTTGTATCACATGTGCCACACCACCATCTATTGATGAAATTGGTTAACTATTGTACTTTAGATTTAGATAATAAGGTTAATATATTTTTGTATATATTTATTACGTTCTTTATGTAATACTTTTATTTACTGCGTTTTAGATATAATTATATCATTATAGAACATTATTATACATCATTTAGTTATGTATTTGTTAATTATTGTAACGTCACCGCTCAGTCCGCCATTAAAGCCGTTACGAGAAAGACATCTTTCATTCAATCCCAAGATATTGCATTGGCGACGAGAGAAAAAAAAAGAAAAAAAATATATATCGTAAAAGTTCGCGTGTGTATAAGCTAACCGGCCTAAACCATGTCGATTGGTAAAATATCGGAATTTAAAGTGGCCACAGACAATTGGAAACTATATGTGGAAAGGCTCGAACAATTCTTTGTTGTGAACAAAATATCAAGTGAGCTACATGTACCTACATTAATCACGGTTATGGGGGCGGAGAGTTATGAACTACTCGTGAGTTTGTGTACCCCGGAAAAACCCACATCAAAAACGTTTTTAGAGCTAACAAAAATTTTGGAAAATTACCTTCAACCAAAACCCAGCGAGCTGGCGGAAAGATTTAAATTCCGACAAAGAAAACAAAGGGATGGTGAAAGTATATCAGAATATGTAACGGACCTAAAGAAAATGTCGAAAACTTGCGAGTTTGGTAGCTGGTTGCAAGAAAGTTTGCGCGATCAGTTCGTATGCGGTATCAGTAGTGAAACAATTCGGCAGAGATTATTTGCCGAAAGCAAACTAGACTTTGGCAAGGCTTATCGATTAGCCGTGAGTATGGAGGCGGCGGAGAAGGATGCAGCCAGCGTCGATGTGCATCCGAAAATATCTGGAGACTCGAGCGCATCCACAAACTGCTACGCGATGGTCAGTACAAGACGGACCGGGCGCGCGATCGGTTGTGACGGCGAGCGGCGCGCGGGCAGTAAGGGCGAGGTCAGGATGCGTGGCAGAGCATCCAGGATAGCAGCAGCAACGCCCACCGGGCCGAGGGTATCAACATCGGTGCTGGATGATCGACGACGACACCAGCGCGAGTGTCGCGCGTGCGGTAATGCACACGATGTAGTGACCTGCAAGTTTGCTCGCTACGTGTGTCGAGTGTGCAATAAACAAGGGCATTTACAAAGGATGTGTCCTTATCTAGCAGGACAACACAGCCTCGACGTGGTGCAGAGTGAGACTGACAGTTTATTAAACAGTGAAGTAAGTGACGAGGTAATGGTTTGCATTAATCAATTAAGCGTTAGTCATTACAAACCATTGTTTATATCATTAACAGTACACGGTAGGGATGTTCAAATGGAATGTGATACAGGCAGTGCCGTTTCATGTATTAGCTACGAGTTATATAAACAACAATTCAGTAACCTAAAACTGAATATGTGTCCTTTGTTGCTAAGGTACTATACGGGTGAACAAGTGAAACCTGTAGGTGTGATAAGGCCTTTAGTAAAGTACAAAGATAAAGAAAAGCATCTCGATTTATATGTTATTAAAAATGGTAAAAGTATATTGTTAGGCAGACAATGGTTGGCAGAACTCAATATACAGTTACCCCCATTTGGAAGCTTAAACTGTTTATCGAATGATGTTTTTAACTTAAACGATTTCAGTTCCAGATATTGTAAGGTGTTCGCGGACGGCCTGGGACGGTTCACTGGGCCGCCGGTGAGCATCCGTGTGCGGGAGGGAGCGCAGCCCGTGTTCATGCGAGCGCGTCCGCTGGCTTATGCGTTACGTGCACCCGTGGAGCGCGCACTCGAGCAGCTGATGGCGGACGGTATTCTCACACCCGTCGACCGCTCCGACTGGGCGACTCCCATTGTGCCCGTAGTGAAAAAAGACGGTAACATTAGGATTTGCGCCGATTATAAGTTAACTTTAAATAAAGTTATAGAAGTCGACCGTTATCCTTTGCCTAGAGTAGAAGACTTACTGGTACGTTTACAAGGGGGGCAGAGGTTCAGTAAAATTGACCTTTCACAAGCTTACGCACAATTTGTACTTGACGAATCTGCCAAATATACGGTGATCAACACACATAAAGGTTTGTTTAGGTATAACCGCTTAGTATACGGCTTATCATCAAGCCCTGGCATTTTTCAAAAACATTTAGAGCAATTATTTAATCTACCGTATGTAGGCGTATTTTTGGACGATATAATTATTACAGGGCGCAACACAGAGGAGCATATTAGTAATTTACATAAAGTATTTGACCGTTTGCAGTCGTACGGACTTCGAGTTAAAAAGGAAAAGTGTGTATTTTTTGCTGAATCAGTCAATTACTTAGGTTATGTAATTAGTAAGGATGGTATTCACACTTGTCCGGATAAGATTAAGGCAATAGTAGACACTCCCGTTCCTACGAACGTGTCTGAGTTAAGGGCCTATATAGGAATGATAATGTATTATGCAAAATTCGTAAAAAATATCAGCACTATTCTCGCACCCTTATATAATTTATTGCGTACGGGAATAAAATTTGATTGGTGTGACGATTGTCAAAGAGCCTTTAAAAAGGTAAAAGAACTATTGAGTTCTAGTAAAATTCTAATGCATTACTCTAGCGATTTGCCTATTGTGCTGACGTGTGATGCGAGTAGCGTGGGTGTAGTTGCAGTGATCTCGCACCTGACGCCAGAGGGCGAGCGGCCGGTGGCGTATGCGTCGCGCTCGCTCACGGCTGCAGAGCGAGCCTACTCGCAGATCGATCGGGAGGCGCTCGCTATTGTGTTCGGTGTAAGAAAATATCATCAGTATCTTTATGGGCGAAAATTCATATTGCGTACGGACCATAAACCGTTAACACACATATTCGGTAAATAAACGGGAATACCGGTTATGGCCGCTTCACGTATCCAACGTTGGGCCGTACTTTTATCTGGTTACGACTACAATATCGAATACGTAACGTCTAATAAAAATTGCGCCGACGGTTTATCAAGATTACCAATTTCTTCTAATAATAAAAAAACGATAAATAGAGAAATTACTTATATTAACTTCGTTGAAAATTTTTTACCGGTTACTAATGAGGATGTTACGAAGGCGACTTCAAAGGATATTATTCTTAGTAGAATTTTCGCCTATATCAAATCGGGTTGGCCGACAGTTTGCCCTGGTGAAGAGGTTAAACCTTATTTTGTTAGGCGCAATGAACTATATTTAGATAACGGGTCGATTATGTGGGGGTATAGAATGGTAATACCTTCATATTTACGTCCAATTATTTTAAAACAACTACACAGCAGCCACATGGGTATTGTGAAAACTAAGGGGCTGGCACGGAGTTATGTGTGGTGGCCGAACATCGATGCGGATGTGGAAGCGCTATGCCGAAGCTGCGAGACCTGCGCCTCTGAGGCGGACGCCCCGCCGCGCGCGCCTCCTAACCCCTGGCCCTACTTGCCTCCCTGGTCTAGAGTTCACATAGACTTCCTAGGACCGTATAAAGGTAAAACTTATTTAGTTTTAATAGATTCGAGCTCGAAATGGCTTGAAATTATTGAAGTAGCGCGAACGAATGCGACTTCCATTGTTAAGGTGCTGAGGTCAATATTTGCAAGATTCGGTTTGCCCTTAGAACTAGTGTCTGACCAGGGACCGCCTTTCACAAGTATTGAATTTAAAAGTTTTTTGAAAAATAATGGCATTCAGCAAAGGTTTTCACCGGCGTACCACCCTGCATCTAATGGGGCAGCGGAAAATGCTGTTAAGCTGTGTAAGAGGGCAATTAAAAAGGCTTATAGGGATGACGTAGATATTGATACCGCCCTACAAACCTTTTTACTAAGCTATCGCAACAGTAAGCAAAGCTCCACGGGTGAGAGCCCAGCGATGCTGCTGCAGCGACGTTCTTTGCGTTCACGGTTGGATTTACTTCGCGGTGGGTACGTGGTGCAAGCGCGTGTGCTCGATGCTCAGCAGCGTCAAGTCGAATATGCGGGTGGTGTTCCGCGTAATTTCTCTTTGGGAGACACCGTCTGGAGTAGGGACTACGGCACCCGAGATAAATGGGTCAAGGGCACGGTAGCCCATAAAGAAGGTTCTGGAAGATACGTTCTCGACAATGGTGACGGTCGACTTATTAAAAGACATATTGATCAAATAAGACGTAGGTCGCGCTTATCCGATATTACCTGTCCAGATATCACTAATGAGGTCGATGAAAAGGATGAGGATGAGTTTGCAGATGCGTCTTCAGAGTTGCAAACGGAGGTGGCGGTTTCGGCTGGAAAATATGACGTGGATACCGAGCACGTGGCAGATACGCAATGTCCCAGCGAGACTGTACCAGGCCCCGCCACTCCTCCACAACCACCGCCACCGTCGCGGCCAGTGACCCGTTCCAGGCGAATCCGAAAACCCGTAATTAAATTCCAATGTTAGATTAATGGTATACTTAGTTAAATTATAAGTTTAAAACTAGTTATTAAGTTCATTGCTATATAATTATGTAGATATTTAAGGCTGGAGGTGTAAGGTATTTGTTAATTATTGTAACGTCACCGCTCAGTCCGCCATTAAAGCCGTTACGAGAAAGACATCTTTCATTCAATCCCAAGATATTGCAATTTATAATATGATATTAATTTAAAATATACTTGATGACTCATCAAACGCCACTATTGAACAAATTCGTACCTATACTTAGTACCCATACTTCAGAATATTTATCATTACTTTTGATGGAATCAACTGATTTTAATGAAATAAAGACTAAGTGTAACCCAAAGATACACTTAATAATTTACTTAACGATTCTTATGATATAAATTAGTACTTTATACGACTAGACAGGCCCACAAAAGAACTAATGGACTGTCCCTCGAACGAACCAAGAAATGTATTGGGCAAACTATAAGTTTGTTTCAAATCTATACATATAATAAAAATGTTAATAGCAGATGTCTGTACGTTTTATATTTTTGTAATAAAAGTGATTGAGAGGTACTAAAAATAAGTAATGCCATCAAAAACATAACTTTGTAAAAAAAACCAAGTCTCGCAACACTGTTCTTCTACCGTAAAAATTTGTGAGATCCATGTAATACCAAGTCGGTTAATTTATTCAGTCTCTATTTAAGGGTGCTTCTGTCTTAAGTTATTACGTAATAAACTAGCCTAACAACATCTTATAGTGACCACACCAATACTTAAAATCTTTTATATTTTAAATAAATAAATTAAAATAACAAAAGTACCAATTCCACGCGGCAAGTCTTAGGCCCAGCTGGTTGTAATATAATATTTTAAAGTTAAAAACTTTGTACAACAGACTTCAATATAAATTATAAAGAATAAATCAAAAACTAATAACTAGACCTTGATCATCAATTTGTATGGGACCACATGAGAAGCACAATCTTTCAAATAAAAAACCATCGAAATCAGTTCACCCTGAAAAAAGTTATCAGGGTGAGCACATAAAAAAGTCATACAGTCGAATAGAGTACTCTCTCTTGTTTGAAGTCGGTAGAAAATATGGAAAATTTACGTAAAATAGCAGCTTAACACTGCTGTGTTTCGTATGGTGAGTGTAGAGAATCGGAACCCCTTTTTACTAGAAAAGAGGCATTCCATCTAAAGCTTTGGTCTGGTGATCAAGACGCACAACGCTGCGGTATGCGCTCCAACGCAGCGTCACGACGCAGCATTTACCGTCCCTGCGGAGAGGTGGTCAGTTGATTTTGCCGCAGCTACCAAGGTAGACGTGAACATGAACATTTTTTTTGTAATTTGTGCTTTGCTTGAAGAGGAAGAAGAAGAAGAATTTTTACTGCTTTTGAATAGACAAAGAAACTCTCCGAGGAACATGTTTTTACAACGGAGGAGTGAAGGTTGTTACGAAACCTTAATAAAAAGGCATTTGATTGGTTGTGAAGAAAAATTCATGGGTTACTTTCGGGTTTCAAGGGAGATCTTTAACAAGATTTTAATGGCCATAAAAGATATTAGTGACACACACGCGCAATTTTCTTTAATTATCAAACTTTTATGTTTTTTGTCTTTATTTTTATATAAAAAAGGATAATTGCGAACTAATTCTATTAAATTGTCTTCGAAAAAAATCCATATTGTCAACCCGTGACGCACACCCGCACACCGCAGCTATGAAACGAGAATGACCACAGAATACTTTACTCCAGAATGACGCCGCGCTATGCGGGAGTACACCTCCCCACTTCACCGCGCTTGTCCTTCGCCGCTGACGCATACTGCGACGGAACAAGAGAACATTCTCGACGTTTTTCATATGATTGAGTGTCCGGCATCGCATACCGCATACCGCAGCGTTGTGCGTCATGATCACCAGACCAAAGCTTTAGTCCTCACGCGTGACGACGCATCTGCATTTTGATTCTTTATTGAGGATAGATGTAGATGTCTATGGGTTACAGCAACTACTTGCTGGCCTGTGTGTTCATTTGCCACCCTATCCTATAAAAAATTATATGATCCCCTCTTAAAACTATTTGTGCTAAAACATTTATGAAAAATAAATATAACATATTTTATAAGAAGCATATTTTTACTTTAAATCTGCAAAAAAATAAATCACGATCTGTACTCATGAGTCCCTTGGCTACGATTTATGACATTGTTAATATAAATGTGTTGTGGAACATATAAATATTTTATTTATCATTGAAAGTCGACTACAGTTTCTAACTGATTTTGTAACTCAGGTGGTGTTGTAACCTTTGAGAATTAGGATAGAATACCTCATTGTGTGTAACATTATTGGCTGTCCACGTTCAACAAGCCGGAAAACAATAGTTTGTTTATTAGTTTATTTTTAAAAAACGTAACCCCCATACTAGAATTTTCTCCTGTATCGTGGAGGCAGTTTACAAACATAAATTGCACAAGGACAAACATCCAGACCCGGAACTTTATTAGTAACCCATAGTATTTGTAGGCCATACAAATACTTGTTCCGTGCGGGATTCGAATTCGAAGCGCAGGCAACACATTGCTAAGCCACTGCGCCACCGAGCTGTCAAAAATAATAGTAACACTTCGCACAAATAGATACGACAGTTTTAGGAGGCGGGCCCTGAAAACGGGCAATATCAAAATAAACGCAAGAACTGCGTTCCCTAATGGTTTTATAAAATAGTCTGTATAGTTGCTAACTTTCAATAGTGTTATTATCTTATTGCCCTTGTTGAAAATAGAATAATGTCATTACCATTTTTATCTGCTTTGAAAATATCTAAAATTAAATAAACATTCATGTAATCATCATAATAATTGGAACCCATGCAACAGGTATTTAAAATATTAAAATACTAAAATTTAAAATAATGAAATCCTTCTCACGCCAAAAACGCTGGATTACTTTCCTCGCTAAATAACTATACTTAGATGTTAAAAAAGAAAAGAATCAGCCATCTTGTCACCAGACGCGATAACTAGACTTCACTATCATTTTTTTGTTTCTTTGGTATAAAAAGTCACTAAAACTATTTACGTGCGAGAGCCACTCTGCCGTTATATTATAAATGAAGTACGAATGGGTCGGCTCAGCCGGGATCTCCACCATGCTCTCATAGAATACTAGTGTAATTATAATCATAAAAAATACACGCATCCCTTTCAATTGGAATGAAATAACAAAATTATTCATGTAAACAAAAAGTGAACTATGCAATGTGATTGAATATTGTTTTTAACAGGCAATGAAAGAATGCATTTGAACTACAATGTGTCTTTGGCAGAGCAAAATTCTACGAAAAAGTGAAGCAACATAAATTGAAAAACTAAACAAATTTTTTCACTTGTAGTATGTATAAGTGAAACATATTTATTCAGATTAAGGACATCACTGATTATATAATTAAAATGGTTTTAATAAATGTTGCTTGTTCTTACTTGAGGGCAGTTAACTGATGCTAAATTAGATTATTTTAATAATTAAGATTTTCAGTTAAGGCATTACGGAATGAAAATAGAACCATATTTAAGAAGAAATTCTATGTTACTCAGTAGGGAATATTTCTAGGAACCTTAATCGTTATCTTATAAACTTTACTGTTACTTTGTCCTAGCAGCTTTAGCGCAAAGTGAGCACTTAAAAAATGCATTAATTCGATACATCGTTTATGCTAGTAAGACTGCACATTACTCTTTCATTTATCATATTTTAAATTACATTTTTTTATTTTCTTAAACAGTAAAATCTTACAGTTATTAGTCACTGAGGCCTCTATATACGCGTCAAGTTTCCATTTTTCTTTTCTCTACTTCTGCCAACAAACAAGTAACCACGCCAAGTTCTTCTTTATCACATTCATTCCATTTTTTTCACACATACAGTTTCCTCATTGCCACTCGCTATACAAACCCGAATTTTATTGTTCAAAATCTGATTGCAATCTAATTTTTTTGAATACAACTGGGGCACTACTACAAACTAATAAAAATAAACACAAACCATTTGATACGATTCTTTCGAATCGTACGATGAGCGCCTGTGGACGTGTACCTTTAGGCAGTACGGTTGCCAAAATATAAAAGTAACATCGTACTTATTAAAAAAAGATTTCTATTTTACATCATAGTCCGAATTTTATTACCATTAAACCTTTCAAATTAATTTCACTTGCTGAGCGTATTGCAATTTTAGTATAACCAGCAATAAAATAAATAAAAAACAAACTATAGCCTGTAAGACGTTTCTCGTTATTTAAACAGGGTGGACGATATGAAGATATGAGAACGTGGATTTATGTACAATAAATAAAAATATATTTCTCGTTCCTGCAATGATTTACTAAGGTTTCCTATATACATATTACCAGATACTTTAGCCTCTATTTGTCCGATTTTTCTATCTACAGTTAAATTAAAGCCCAGAGATAAAACTTATTTCTTTGACCATAACTCCTCAGTTTAAACTATTTAATTTTTATTTTACAGGACCAAGAAGAGGGTAGCTTTAGGGGTCAAACACTCGCTGTAAATATGCGAGCAATCCCGGTTTGAACCCTGCCGGCACCAATGAAATTATTTACAATTTTAATTGCTGATTTACCTCGTTCTCTACGGTGAAGAAAAACATCGTGAGGAAACCTGTATGATGTAGAATAAAAAAAATATTTCGGAGACATGTGAAGTCCACCAACATGAATTAAGGGAGCGTGGCTAACTTTTTCTAGCTTTAAATACCTTCTAAGAAATGAGGGTGGGGGAGGGCTGTGCTCAGGAGTGGGAGGCTGTAAATTTAAGCAACCGCATTTTTTATTACTTTGCGTGGTTTTTAGGTAGATGCTGTGCACATGGTCTGTTTATTTCCATCTGTGTCTCTTATGATAACTATGGGATGATATAGGGTAGCGAATTTTGTTACGCTCCAACTTACATACACGGGAACTTAACTTTTA